TACCAACTGTACAAAAACATACCAACTCAAGAAACTTCTAAAATACCTTCAGATACATAAATTCTGATGCAAACTCAAAACTATTTACTATAAATAACAAAAAAGACAAGGAATCAATTACTAAAAAAATTTGCCGATAGTTTCGAAAAACGTTTAAATGCCAAAGCAATGACGCACACCGCCTCGAATTTTCAATTTCCACCTTGTACCAAATTTGATATGGTAATAATATCAGATGAAAATATTAAAACGACTATCTCTCTCCTAAAATTAAACAAGACCAAAAATGCGTTTGGAATCTCTGCAAAACATTTAAAACATGCACGTTGCAAAGCCCTAACAGAGTGGCAAAGAAAATTCTTTAACTTTATTATTAACCACGATCAGGCCCCAAAATTAATGTCTGCATCACTTATTATACCTCTTGCTAAATATTATAAAAAATCATTAACTGATCAGAATAACTACCGTGGTATTAGCATCATTCAAATCTTATTTTAATAATCTGTTCAGAGAAAAAAGAAACTCATCCTCTTAAATTCAGTTTTACAAAAAACAGCATAAATGACAAGTTTGTAATAAGTAAATCGATACAAAATTTCAACAACAACAATTCACCTTCTAACTCTTTTTCCTGGATGCTGAAAAAGGATTTGACAGCTGTAGCGGGGACATTCTATTTGAGAAACCTCAAGAATAGTTTTAAGTACCGCTTTATATTGTTAATACTATATCGTCATTGTACCATAAAAGTAGTGCTTCTGTCACTTATATAGGATACAAATCATATCCATTTTATTTAACGCAAGGAGTGAGACAAAAATTGCTTCTCTCTCCTTACCTGTATAATATATTGTATAATATAGTGTTGTAGCATACGCTGATGACATCATAATTCTTAATTCTACCATATCTGGAACTAAAAAGCTTATACCAGCCTATTTACATTATACTTTATACAATTTGCGTTAGTGTATGTAATACATACACTAACGCAAATTGTATAAAGTTAAATGCTAATAAGAATGAGTTCTTGTTAACCGGAAAAAAATAAATTGTAAACTGCGCGATAACAGTTCACCACCAACAATTAAAACTGGATGATAAACTTAATCATCTAGGTTTTATATGGGATACTACAAGCTCTTCTTTTGCCTCACTTAATTGTTTAAATGTTTACAATAGAATATCAAAATTCAGGGCAATAATCCAAACTATTATTCAGTCTGGAATCCGCTTTGCTCATCCAAGCTCTATCATCTAACTATACAAAACATTGGCAGTTCCAGTACGTATGTATGGTCTGGAACTTTGCGATTATAAAGACTTTAAAATGTAAAAGCTTGATATAGTAGGAAGGAATGTACTTAAGTCACTCTTTAACCTAGCGGGAATTTGTTTTTAAAAGTTACGTTCTAAATGTATTTTAAATGTCTGTTAAACGTCTTCTAAACATTCTTACGTAAAAAACGTTTAAAAGACGTTTAAAAAACGTTTAAAAGACGTTTAAAAAACGTTTAAAAGACATTTAGAACGTAACGTTTAAAAACAAATGCCCGTAGGAAATGTTTCCGAACGCAGCAAAAATTATATTCATTCTTTGCTTTACATCCAAGATGTATCAACAGTCGTACAGCAAAACAAGTTAAACTTATTTATTCGCATATTGACCAATAAAACAACCTTTGGTATTGTAAATTCGCAGTTTAAAAACCAAACCGCTAAACACTCTTTCCTAGATGTCATAGGTTTATGCAATCGAAATGAGCTAAATCTAAAGAACTTAATGCAAAATTAAAAAAAAGTAAAAACTATAGTGGTAAAAAATATAATTTCTAAAAAAGATCTTCAAAGGTTAAGCTATGCAATTGAGTTGTGGAACTCATTGGAGCAAAGGAAAATCCTTAAAGATATTCTTGAAGTTAATATTCCAAGATAAAATTATTTCTTTTTGAAAATGTAACTTTATAATAGTTTACCTTTAATAAATATAAATATAATATATAATGTAAATAGGATAATATCCAAAAAACTGATTTCACGAAATCAATAAAAAAATTTTGCAAATGAAAAAGCCAGAAAAACTAACATTTAATAATTTTTTTTTTTTTTTTTGTGTCTCATATATTGGAAAAAAATGGAAATGACGATAATAAAAATACTAAAATAATTTAGAAAATTGAGTTGATAACGATCAAGATCAGTCATTAATTCATTAAACAAAACGAATCATTAAATGATTAAAAGATTTTTGTTTTAAATATTATCAAAAACAATAAGTATTTTTTCTTGCATTTCCTTTGCATTTGCTTGTACCAAAATATTGGATTTTTTTTGTTGGCTGACGCATCTTTTTGAAGTCATTTTTTTCAATATTTCTTTTTATCTCTTAATTAAAAAAAAAACATCATTTTTACAAATAAGACTATACAGTTGAAAAGAAAATTCTAATGCTAACCCATGAGATGTCTCAGAGCCGGTGTATAAGTGAACTTGGTGGCCCTAATAAAATAAATAATAAAAAAAAAAAACTACAAAGAGGCGCATTAAGAAAAAAATCACTCGAAAGGGATTGATAGGCGAAGGCTCTTCGTTTAGCCGGATGCAAAAAATTTCAACTGAACTAAAAAAATTATCTATTTGTTTGTGATTCTTAATACATTTTATGTACATTGTATGTCCAAGATTTCATTTTATGTACATAGTATGTCCAAGAAATCACCTACATTTGTTTTTTTATTGTTATTATTTTTTCTCTGTAGCTAAATTATATATAAATACATTTTTTATTCTGAATAATAACAACGATATTTAAGTAATATATTCAAATTAATAACATTATATTAGTATAAAAGGGGTTGTCCATAAAATACGTACGCTTTTATTTCAACCCCTCCTCCTCCCGCTTTTGCTATACGCTTTTTTGAGTACATTCCATCTCCCTAAAAGTACCTACGCTTTTAACCAACCTACCCAACAGTTTATGACATTTTTTTAAATTTAGTGTCTCCTTACTTTTATAATTGACCCCCAGGGATCATCCATAAATTACCTCATGCTTTAGGAGGAAGAGGGATAGTAGTTTTGTGATGACTCGTACTTGTTAATGAGTTAAAATGATGTGACGAAGGTGTATAAGACAGTGTCGAAAATTGCGTTACGTAGTTTACGGACGTCCACAAGTCCAGTTTTAAAATTTATTTTAGATTTGAAATAATGCATACGGTTGAAATCTAAAATAACCAAAGTATTGAATAAAATGATCAAATGTTATTATTTTTTACTTTTACTATGGCTATTTATTTTTAAATTTCATTTAACTTAAATAAAAATTTAAAAATATATTTACTAAATCAAAATAAAATTTAATTTAATATTTTATTTAGTAAATATTTAATATAAATTAACTATATTATTATTATTATATTGATATATATTATATTTATGTTATAACTATATGATATTATAATATTATAATAATATTATCAAATATTAATTTTATTATAATAATATGATATAATTAAATTATATAAAATTTATTATATTATTACTATTTATTATATTAACAAAAACTTGATTTAAATCTTATCTATCAAACTTTTAATTTCAAGTCTAATATATATATATATATATATATATATATATATATATATATATATATATATATATATATATATATATATATATATATATATATATATATATATATATATATATATTTAAACAATTTTAAAATGTATTTTACAAAATAGAGTGCTCAACGTTCTTAAAAGAACAGAGCAATTATACAAATAGTAGATAATCACTTAACAAAGTTTTTTATTTAATACTGTGTTTCATCAATAAAGACTCATCAGAAATGAATGATCTAATTAATAAAACTTCAATTTATACCAAAAAATTAAATTGCAGGAAGTCGTAAATGTCTTAACTACTGTAAATTTTTACACATTTGTGGAAATTATTACACATGCAAATCAAGACTGCATTTAGAAATCAATAAGGAATTAATTTTCAAATGCAGGCACGAAAATAAGTTTCTCCTAAAAAACTATAAAAATAAGTGAGCTCAAATAATAATTACATTAAATCCCAGGTTTATAAAAAATGTTTTTAAAAAAAAGTAGAAGTAATCAGTTCTAAAGAATTCTTTTTATAATAGTGTCAACATATTCCGCAAATGTGTGAAAATTTGCAGTAGTAAACTTTCACACATTTGAGGAATATACTGAAAAAAGACATTTGTGACTTCCGGTAAATTAACGAAAAAACGATAAGCGAGAAAGTGATAGTATGTACTTAAACTAATTGCAAAAACAAAATATTTAAGAGCCGTTTTTATAAGAATGAGGCAAGTTTAAATAGTCGAGTTATCGAACTTTCTTAATTACTTGAGGGATATTTTCAAACATTTTATAAGAAAACCTGAAAATTTGAGACCGTAATTCAAACCAGTTCAAAAGTTGTTGCAGTTTAAAATTTTATAAAACGTTGACTTTTTCAAAGTTTCCTATGTTTTAGTTTTATATAGAAACTTCATGCAGGTAAAAAAGTTGTTTGAAATGAGTTTTATAAACGAATAAAATATTAAGTTATAGCGTGGTGAAATTAAAATTGCACCGCCCTGAAATAATTCGTTTGCAAATAAAAAAAAAAACCACGCATTTTATTAAACTACAAATTTTTTGAAAGTATTGAATTAATGTAATATTTATATTTTACAGAGTCATCAAAGAGATAGATAGAAGTTTGATTCTTGTAATGATTATATTTTGATTTTTGTAAAAAATGTCTGTATCTATTGTATATAATGTAACAAAGATATAGCTGCATATTATGTCAGTATAATTTATTAAATACGACATCAATACGATAACTCACCACGGTTTATATACATTTACTTTAAATAAATTGCTTTCCGTTTAGTAACTTAAAATTATGTTGACGTCATTTTATTTCAAAATTAATTATTCAAAATTAAATAAGTTGAAAAGTCATACCATTGCGGTCAGATGGGTAGAGTTTTCTTGGTATGTAAAATCACCTTTGTTGGAATATGCTTGCTGAGTAAGTAAATGACATTCCATACTAGTTATGTCTGAAGTTAAGTTTCTTACTAGATTCATAGATGAACAGGTTAAAGAAGACATACACTTTTTCATACAATGTTGTTCGCTTTTAACTGTTATTTTATCAAATGCGGTTTGATTTAAAAATGTAAAAGGAAATCGTTTTGCGTTAAAGTAGCTTTGTTTAGTCGGTAACGAAGAACTTAACGTTTCTGAGTTGCAAACTTTGTTGTTTGTGCACACAGTTGAAAAAGTTTCGTCCATCATTACAATGGAAAAAAAGCATCTAAAAGTTAAAAAAATTATTAAGTTATTGATTTAATGGGTACACTTGTTTTCTTAAGTAAATATTTAACACAAACCCATATAATACATGTAACTTATAAAATATACATATTATTAAATTTATTATTAAAACCCCTAAAAATACAGTGACATCATTAGGATTTTTTGGTGGTGGTGAGGGAGGGGGGATATTGAAATATTTTTAAGTTTTGTACCATATTTAAAAAGGTATTTTTAGATTCTCCTGGGTGGGGATGCATACCCCTCCCTCTGGGTCCGCCACTGTAGAAATATGGTATTATATAAAATTTGCCAACTGAAATGCTAATTATACCAATGTGCCAACTCAAATGCACAAATAACAGCTTTTAGGGGGTGGGACACCCCCTACAACCCCCCCCCCCCCTTCCGACCATTCATCCTTTGGACAAAAACTTTTATTTCAAAAAAATGGTACTTCCAAATAAAAACAACAAATCAAAAAAAAATTACAAATAATAAAAAAAATAACTTGATTTTATGAAATTTAATTCGAATAAATATATAGAGGCGGACCCAGGAAGTTATTTGGATACATCTGATTTTTTTAAATAACCTCTAACCCCCTCCCCTTTATAAGTGGATGGGGAGGGATTGCAAAAATCGTTCAATTAGCCAATATTACAATATATATATATATATATATATATACATATTATATTAATATGTATATATATATATTGTAACTAATAAATATATATATATATATATATATATATATATATATATATATATATATATATATATATATATATATATATATATATATATATATATATATATATATATTAGTTAATCTATTTAGAGTCATTCTTCACTTAAAAATATGCAAGGTTATTACCGGGGCACTTTACTTTTAGATTATAAAATTATATACGTACACATTATTTAAAGATGTATTATTAAAAACTATATTTTCACATTACCATTATTAAAATAAATTACACATTGCAAAAGTTTATATTTATATTGTAACAAATAACAAATATTGTAAAATAACACAAGTTATAATAAAATATTTTTATATTGTAATATGCAATTTTAAATTATATAAAGAAGTATTTGGAGACGCACTTTTAATGCCCGATTCTGTTATTTAAAAGTAAATTTTAAAATCTTCATTTTATTAAATCTTGCTGAGAAATACATATATACTAAAAATATCAATTCAAAAAACAAAAGAATTTGCTAATATAACAAATACAACATAGCATTTTATATATAAAGAATGATAACACCAAATCGGTGTTGTTGGCACTGTAACATGGCGCTTTACATATAATTTTTCAGGCGCAAAAATGAATAATATGTCCACTCACATTCACATGAAGTTAATGGAAAAATAGCAAATAAATTTTTACTGCAAAATTATCAATATTATCAACTCAGTAATATTAACATTTAAATCACATTTTTAAATTTAACCAAAAGACTTTGCATAAATAAAGCTCACATAGGTAAAGCACGGGAATGCAGTAGATCTGTTCCATAAAAATCGCTAAAAGATTTGATGAAGCTCTTCTAATGTCATCTAAAAATTGAACTTCTGAAATCTTTTTTGTAGGAACAACCATAATGTTCTTAAAAAGTATCCAAAGCAAAATTAAATTTTTTCCACTCAACGTGTTCTGCAAAAACGTTTTAACTGTTTTTTTAACAGCCAACGGAACGGTACTTTCAATATACTCCTCTAACATTTGTTGCCTTGTACGTACAAGTTTAAAAAGTATGATACCTCATTAAAATGTGCCAAAAAAGATACTTGACATGTTGCAAAATATGATATTGTGCTAAAAAGATACTTGACATATTGCACTTTGTATGAGGCACAAATAGCTAAATTAAGTCTATGACTGTTACAATAAGCATATGCAGCTTTTTCATTCAGATTTAAAATACCAGAGGACAAACCTTTAGTGTGACCATTAATTGCTCTAGCACCATCATGTCAATGAACTCTGCAATTCATGATATATAAAGAATCTGAAATATTTTTTACCAAAAAATAAAATAATCTTTACTAGTTACATCATTTGTGCAATCTAAGAAACTGATAAATTCCTTTATTGAACTTTGAATCAACAAGCCATATAATTAAATAGTTGTT